TCAATGTGGCCCTTTGAGGGGGGCCAATATGCTGAAGTGGCCCTCGGTGAAATTGAGTTTGACACCCCTGGTCTAGAGTTTCGGAAATGTGGACTGTAGTCTGACATTAGCGTTAGCCGCTACATGTTAGCATTGAGATGCTACCTTAGGCTTGAGTAGCTTTGATAGGCTAACTGTTGTTAGTGTTTCCGCTCTGAAACCGATCTGATCTGTTTAGCTCCTGACGTGCAGATTTCCACTACAAGCTGAGACCTTTTATCAAGCAATTTGAACAAGTTGAAGCAAATTCAGGTTCTTGTGTCAGGTGTTGATGACGTCACAAGAGGCAGAAGAACACGACTGACCAGGAGACACTGGAAAATATCCATGTGGCTGAGTCATTTCTGAGAGATTCTGAAGGATTATAGTTTTTTATGTTCATCTTTCCATGTTTGAGTCAGAGTTTGTCTAGACCAGTGGTTCTTAACCTGGGTTCGGTCGAACCCCAGGGGTTCGGTGAGTCGGTCTCAGGGGTTCGGCGGAGCCTCTGCCGCGGAGGTAAAGACACACTGTGTAAAGTCGTGATGACGCCCCGCTTTGCCATCACTTGCTGCAAAGGATCACGTTACATTGCTTAGCCAATCAGAGCTGTGGAGGAGCAGTGATTGAAGGAGTTCCACTCTCAGCATGGATTTGAACTTGTGTCTTTAATTACTTCAGCAAAGCTCACAGTTTTTACCAAATTCTGTAGCTTTCGGTGTACTTCTAAATCTGCTACTTAGTCGCATCTTTTCGGGGTTGGTACTGCCTCTAGTGGTGTGGGGGTGGTAACACAACTAATATAATTACATTACTAAATCAGAATACCGCAAAGTCTTTATTATTTATTATACATTTTTCATTCTCTTAAGAATGTAGAGCTAATTAAATGATCTAAACAAGACCTTAAAGTGGTTCCAGTTTCTCTCGATGGCCAACCTGTTGAAACTGTGGCAAATTTGGGTCGTTCCTGGACAGTCAGCTCAACTTTGCTGAAAACACTGACTATATTTTGAAGAACTGTTCTCAGAGACTCTACCTTTTAAGAAGACTTAGTGACCTTGGGGTGACCCAACTAGTCTCTAGATGGGTTAGGTTACCCCTAGACTCTAGTCTAGGGTCATCCCTACACTAGAGTCTAGACTAGACTAGAGTCTAGGGGTGACCTAACTAGACTCTAGTTGGGTCTCCCCTAAGTCTTAAATTTGGGGGGAAAAATAATATTTTATTTATGACTACAGAAGGGTTCAGTGAATGCACATATCAAACTGGTGGGTTTGGTACCTCAAAAAAAATTAAGAACCACTGTGCTAGAATGATTCTGCCACCGTTATGGATGCCACGGGGATTACTAAACAGATGCAAGCAGTGATGAAGATCATGATGACCTTCAGAGGTTTAGCTAAAACTAATCAGTTTGTGGATGATGCAGCAGGAAGCTCCAGACCAGAGCAGAATGGGTTTCAGAACAGATTAAAATACTTCTCTGGCCCTTCTTCCTGTAAAGATCATCAGTGTTATTATCTTCATGACATGTTGACTGAAAACGATTAGTGAGGAAGTTTGATGATGAAATGATCCAGATCTGCCTTTCCAAATGGTCTGAAATCATTCCCATACATCACTCTAATGTTTCACTGCATTAGAAGCAGAACTTTAATTATTGTGAATGACGCCAGAATGTAACATTTTTCGGATTTATTTGTTTTTACTGTTGAGGAGGAGATGAGTGAAACATCTGATACTGATGTCTGTATGAGGATTGGCTCAGTTTGGTGTGATCGTTTTCCTACCGCTGGATGGTAGCAAACTCCTTCTAGGTCTGTGTGAAATATGCATCAACAGGCTTTAGTGGAACACAGACACATCCATGGCAGTGGTAGAGGATTCTGGGAAATAGTCTGGGTTGACTGTATGTAGCTTCATATTGTGAAAACGAACATAAAGAAGCTCATTTCTTCCTTTCCTGATAGTTTGCTTCCTTTTCCTGTCGTTCACTTTGGCCCTTCAGGGTCTGAGGAGCTTTCAAGAATTTATCAAACATTTATGTGTTTCAGCTAAATCTGCATTTGGGTTTCAGCCGTTGGATACGTTTTATTTATCCTGGAGTTTCCAGCTGTTTAATTTACTCTGTCATCACGATACTCAGTCATTCCATGTTTATAAAAGCTGGATAACATTTTTTCTACGTATTCTTACTGAATCAACACCAGATGCGTCACAGAGTCTCAGAGCTCAGCTTATGAAATGTTGGAAAGTTTTCTGGAGTGAAGCTGCGTTTTGGCTCCTCTGCAGACATTTGAGTCACCAGGTGATGAATCAGGATCAAATAATGTTTGAATCAACACTTGAAATCACAAGAATTAATGGGTCTAAAACATGCAGCGTGCGCTAACTTTTCTAGTCTGTATTTTCCCCAGAGCGGAAGTGTTTTACTTTGCCATAGAGCCTCACTTCCTGTTTCATCAAATTGTTGACAGCTCTGACAAAAACAGACTCCAGCTCTGTGTTGGTCGGACAATCGGAAACGAAGTCGCCTGCAGTCTGCAGGCTCCGTTAACTTTAACGTGCTCTAACTGATGCGTACGTAGGACCTGGTTTTCAGTTGGATCGGAAGCCAAAATGGATCTGTTGTGTTTTGGATTTTATGCAGTTCTGACCAGGAAAGCATCCAAGTTAAAACAAACACATAGAATATGTGAACATAAAGGCAGAAATCATTAAATATGACCCTGATACATCAGCATTGGAGTAAATATGGCTGCAGATAGAGCCGGCAAATAAAACGGAGTTAGTAGAAAATAAACGCTGCCTTTTCTGCAGATATTTTTCCATTTGAGGTTCTTTGCTTGCATCACATTTTATTTTCACAACTATTTTCATCCCTAGTGTATGTGGTCAGGCCAGTCTTCCTGTTTGCCGTACCGTCTCCATTATTCGGGCCGGCTGGGTTGCGCCCTCGCCCACAGCCCACAGTGAGTTGACGCTGCGCCGTCAGACGCTGTGTGGATAGAAATGTAAAACGAGACAGTTGATGTGCGCTGACCACAAACTAGCATGCTTGTGTGTCACAGTTGGAAAATCTGCTGTAACTGCAGAGGATGACTTAGAGGCAGCAGAAAAACACTCAGCCAGCCGGTGGCCAGTTCCCGTACGTACCTCAGCCATTTAAAGCCGCTATGGATTTTTTGTTTGCTTGTGGTTGTAGTGCATATTTCATTTAAGGCTTTCTCAATGAGAAAAGCAACTTTATTTAGTTTTCACTTACTACTCTCTAAACCTGAGTATGGAAAGCTTTTTTACAGACATTATTTCACAGAAACTGTTCACTTCATCTAAGTCACTTCTATATTTGCAGCACATGAACACATCTTCAATCAAAAATTACTCAACAGTGAAAAACAAAACTTATACTTTATAGTTTATAATAATAAAACCAAAGGATTTTGTTTTGAAATGCAACAGTTTCCTGCAAGTAACATAAAAACCGTATACAGTTTATTATCATATGAACACATATTTACATCTCTGCTGAGCAGCTCGTCGTTTGGTGGATGTTTCAGACTAAAGTCTTGAGTGTGGAGGATAAATTGGAGCGAGTGGACTCAGACGTCGTCGTTCTCTTGATCCGCCACTGTTTCATGAGTTCCCGAACTTTCTTCCTGAAGTTCTTCCCGACGATGACGTACAGCACTGGGTTCAGGACGCTGTTGAAGAAGCCCAGGTAGGTGAAGATCTGGTTGCAGATGTCCAGGGCGGACGACAGCTGGCACCCTCCCAGGACTTGGACCCGCTCCAGGATGTTCAGGATGGTGACCAGGTGGAACGGCACCCAGCAGAGGAGGAAGGCCAGCAGGACCACCAGAACCAAGATGGTGGCCTTCTGCTCTGTCTTCTCAGCGTTGAACCTTTCTATCGACTGCTTCTTCAGCGCCCGGATGATCCTCAAAGTGCAGAACAAGATGATGGAAACAGGAATGACGAAGCTGAGAACCAGCAGCATCCAGTCATAGAGAATCTCTACGATCAGGTTCGGGTATTCCAGGTAGCAGGCGTAAACTCCATACTCAGGAAAATGTCTCACCTTCCTGAAGATGAATGTGGGAATGCTGAGCAACAAGCCGAAGCCCCACGTTAGCAGGCATCCTAGCTTAGCATACTTTGGCCTGCGCATCCTTCCATGCGACAAACCGTGCACCAGCGCCACATACCGGTCTATGCCAACCAGAACCAGGAAGTAGATGCTGCAGTAGACATTTATCTTGATGCCCACATTGACGACTTTGCACATGAACTGTCCGAAAGGCCAGTCGAACTGATTGTAAATGTTGACGGCCCAGAAAGGCAAACAGGACACCAGAACCAGGTCGGCAGCAGCCAGGTTGCTCAGGTAGATCTCGGCCACGGTGCAGGGCTTCTTGTGGAGGATGAAGACCATCAGGACGAACAGGTTGAAGAAGATTCCCAGAATGCTGATGGTCAGAATGTAGACCGGCGCTCCGCTAGCCAGCCAGTCCCAGGCCTCCGGGTTGGGACAGCCCGTAACGTTGGCGCCGTCATGGTCGCTGTACATCGCCGTGGCGTTGAGGTCAGGGAAGCTGCAAAGAAAATAATATACAACACAAACTGTTTAATATTGGAAAGAGATATTATAAGGTTCACTGGTTTCAAATGAACAGACATCCCTGCATTTTGTCACATTACAAACATTTAATTTATATTTTATGTGACAGAACAAGTAGTACATAAAAGTTAACTGGAAGGAAAAGGAAGCATGGAAATAACAATAACAATCTTTAAATCTTTGTTTTCAGCCCCTTTACTGTGACACCAAAATAAAAATCTGAACATCTCTGTTCAGTCAGCAACCACTGCAAACATCTCTGACTGGAAGAGGAGAGCATTAACCAGAAAAATGGCTAATCACAGTAGATCTGGAGGAGCTGCAGAGATCCACGGCTCAGGTGGGAGAATCTCTCTGTGGGACACCGACTGAAAGTCTGCTTCAAGTTCTGGAGGAAACAGTGAACATGTGGAAGACGCTGCTCTGACCAGATGAGATTGTTTTATATTTTTAGTTTTATTTTAGTGACTTCGGAAATATTCTGCTTTATTATGAGAGCTAAAATGCCTCATGTTCCCAAACAAACTGTCGATTTTCTCACTACATGTTCTGGTCCTGGGATCTGCTGTGGAAATCTGGATTCATATTAATGACAGTCAGTAGAGCTGCTGCAGAAACAGAAACATTTTAAACCCAAACAGAACCAGAGGCTCAAACAGAACCACAGAGCCTAGAACAGAACCACAGAGCCTAGAACAGAACCACAGAGCTTCAAACAGAACCACAGAGCTTCAAACAGAACCACAGAGCCTCAAACAGAACCAGAGCCTCAAACAGAACCAGCCTCTCCCTGCTGGTGCAGAACCTATAATAGTTGACGTGCTCTCTGCTTCCTCTGCATGTCGTCTGTAATTGTTTTACCTGATTCTAAGTGATTCTGCTGAGTTAATTACCTTGTTACAGTAATGAGCAGCAAAACAAAGGAAAAAACAAAAGTCTCTTTTCTGTCATCATGTTTGATCTGTTTATGAATATTAAGCTTCCTTAAATAAAAAAAATGTTTTTTCATTTAAGTAAATTTGGTTTTTTTATTTTTATTTTGTACATTAAACAACTCAAAACATAAAAACAGGGTTATTGGTGGATATAATATGCATTATATATACGTTACACTGGATTCATGTAATTATAAGGTTATGTCATGAGGAAAATTAATAAAAAGTGGAAATATAAATAAGTTTACACTCCATTGAATATGCAAAACAAAAGTTTTGACATCATGATACATTCTATTATTATCTTAAAAAAATAAGATTAAAAATTATTAGTATTTAACTCAAAGTTCTAAAATTAGAACCAGAAACCAAAGTATTTAAAAAGAACAACTTTTACTTACAGTTTATTTAACCATATTCCATCTTGTTCTATCTCAGCATTATACTGTGAGATATTTTAAGTTTACAAAAGCAATCTTTCCACATATTTAGCCCATTTAATCATCCAGATCTGCTGGTTCCTGACAGGAGCAGCTCCTCCCAGATGAGATAGTGTGTGAAGCGTTAAGATGTCGTACCTGGTAGCTGGAAGAGTCATTTCTCCTGAGTCCAGATGCTGCGCGTCCCAGTAACACTCTGCTGTCTGTCGTGACTCGCTCCTCTGAGGAATCTGCAATTAGTGTGATGTCAGCCAAAAAGGGAAAGCCAGTTTATAGTTCAGTCAGCGCGCTGCGGCGCTTCTGATTGGCTCTCAGCTCCTGCCTGCACCCTGTCAGCTCTGAGATGCTTTATGGCTGCATTTATATAAACACATGTAAAAAACCCAGCAGCTTCTTGTACTTCTAAGAGTTTACAGAGGTTATTTGGTTTTGCCTTGTTTTATCTGTTCAGTCACAACGGACTGAAAGAACCACAGTTCTGGTTCTGTTGGACCTCAGAGTAGGTGACCGGCTGGAGAACCAGGCCGGACTCTCTGCTCCAGTTCTGGACTGGTTCATGTTTACCAACAGAACCAGGACTTCCTCATGTCACATGTGGAGTACCTCAGGGCTCTGACCTCTGACCCCTCCTGTTCAACATCTATATGCAACAGTGGCTCAGATTATAACAGGAACTAAGATTAGCTGCCATGACTACACAGATCGCCTGGTGATGTCATCAGCTGAGTCTGAACCATCCAATCACTGAACAGATGCTGAGAACGGATAAATGTATGGAAGAGCCTAAACTTTCTGCAGCTGAACAGAAGCTGAAAGTCTTTGGAGGTAAAGAGGAATGATCTAGAGTTATAGATCTGGAGTTATAGATCTAGAATTATAGACCTAAAGTCAACAATCAACTTCAGCTGGAAACTAGAGTTCAGGATAAACTCTCACCTGAACCGTCAGAGCCACATAAAGGCAGTTACAAAGCTGGCCTTCCATCAACAGAAGAACATTTCCTAACCCAGTCTCAGGTCCATCTTGTCTCCAGTTGGTCCATCTTGTCTCTGTCTCCAGTTGGTCCATCTTGTCTCTGTCTCCAGTTGGTCCATCTTGTCTCCAGTTGGTTCATTTTGTCTCCAGTTGGTGCATCTTGTCTCCAGTTGGTGCATCTTGTCTCCAGTTGGTGCATCTTGTCTCCGGTTGGTCCATCTTGTCTCTGGTTGGTCCTTCTTGTCTCAAGTTGGTCCATTTTGTCTCCAGTTGGTCCATCTTGTCTCTGGTTGGTCCATCTTGTCTCTGGTTGGTCCATCTTGTCTCTGATTGGTCCTTCTTGTCTCCAGTTGGTCCATCATGATGCCAGATGTTCTCTAATATTCTCCAACCTGTCCATATGCCTGCCACACTTTTCTTAACTTTGTTTTTATGTTAAAACTGAATTTTCCGTCCTCTTTGTTTTGCTCCACCTCATAAAATCTCAATAAAACACATCTGAGTTTGTGGGTGCAAAGTTCAATGGGTAAGTGACGTTTCTGTCAGGGTGACAAACACTGACACCAGGCATTTATTAGTCGGTTAGTAAACCGGCTGGTTGCGGTTTTACTGGGACAGAAAGTCGCCAGCAGAGACACTTCTCAAGTTTAAAAGGACTTTTACTTCAACAAGCAAAGTGTTCTGGTTTGCAGCAGGCTCTTCACGCAGACAGGAATGGGCGGCACGTATCTGAAAGCAAGCCGCAGATTTTTTAAGTGGGAGATGATTTCCAGATGGTAAATAGAGTAAAACACCAGAATAAAAACACATAAGGTGAGACTGGTGTCAGTAGAAAGGACCAGAACATTCAGCCTGAACGATTTGGTACAGAGAGGATGGAGTTTTGCTTAAGTGGATGGAAGATTATTTCCAGTCCATTAAGAAAGTCCATTAAAAATGCCAACTTTGCATTAAATTAGCATAATTTACAAAATCATGCAAAGTTGGCATTTTTAATTGACTTTTAATGGACTTTTAGAGCAACTTTGCATTAAAAGCGCCCTTATTTACCGAATGACACTTCATGACAACTGTCATAAACATTCATAAAGACTCCTTTATGTTCATGACAGGTGTTATGTCATGTTTATGACAGTGTCATGTCAGTCTTATGCACATGCCTTCAAATAAAATGTTACCCTGCTTGTTAGCAGCAGTGACCAGTTTCTGGAGGTTTTCCCCGTAACGACTCGGTTACTCTGAATATTTCATCCTGAGATGCAGCACTGAGTGCAACCTGTAATGATTGGGAAAGAGTTCCACTCAATCAGGCAGAAACCATTGGGGGGAAATATGAAACCATCTGATGTGCTTGCAAAACCTGCGTTATTATCTGATTATCTGCTCAAATGTATGTCTGCTGTCAGTAGATTTCGATAATTCCATCGTTTATTTTCAACTCTGTTGTTTTGTTGAGGTTAGTCATATGTCAGTCATATGTAGTGGAGGTTTGTTGGATTTGTTTGTGTTTGGCGTCCAGCTGAGCCACGTCTCCTCTGATGAAGCAGCCTGACGTCACTCAGCAGGGTGTGTGCTCAGCGTGTCTGTCGGCCATGTTTGGCTCTCCTCTCTGCTGGAAACCGTGGAGCTCCTGGTCTGATTCTGACAGGAAACCTGATCCCTCTTCTTCGTGTTGTTTTCCTGGGACACACCCAGAGTTTTAGCATGATTCAGAAACGTTCCACAGGATTGAGATCAGAGCCGACCCAGAAGCTTAATGTCAGCCTGCTGTGTCCGGACCGGACCGGGCCGGACCGGGTTTACTGTCCTGTTTGAGCTCCAGGCTGTCCGTTCATCTGTTAACTGGAGGATCTACTCCTTCCTCACCATTTAATCCGCTTTGTGCAGCAAAACATGATGCTGCCACCACCGTGCTTCACAGTCCGTACAGTTCTTAGAAGATGACATTCTGCTTGTCGTAGCTCTACGGTTGTCGTCTCATAAAAGTTTTCCTCAACGCGTTTTTGACTGGCTCATGTTGGCAGCTTCCAGTTTCAGTCAAGCTGAAGGTATCAGTCAGGAGCAGGCAGCATTTGAACATCAGGATCTGAAACTGTTCTGTTCAGCTGGAGATTGTTTCAGGTGAGTCTCCTGTATTTCTCCCAAACACAGGAGAAATGTCTTATTAAAACTACAAAGTTACTCATTTTTATGAGTTTTAAATCTCATAAAAGTATAATATATTTGAAAAAAGAAAAGAGAAAAGAGGTAACAGTATGAAGGCAAATCAAATTTTACTTGTGTAGCAGCTTTGAGCAACAAGACACAGTAAAAGGTTTAAACCTCAGGACGTCTGAGCGACTGGAACTAGAGAGAAGATGGACAGTCAGAGTGTGTTTGGCTTTTTAAGGAGCTTTAACCTGTCAGAGGAATATATTTAATATCTAATTTTAAAAAGATCCCATAGCTGTAGCTTTCTTACCAACATTTAACCAAATACTAGAGGAAGTCCTGAGTAAATGATCCAGTCTTGTTTTTAAAAATCATCACCTTATTCATTATTCCTGCCACAAAACCAGATTTTCTAAATGTTTTTGATCAGCTGGAGTTTGGTGTGTTAGTGACGGGTGGATGAGGTCAGAGCAGCTCTGAGTCACATCAGGAGCAGAACTGATCTGACGTACTGCCAGTTTGTGGGAAAACCTTTTAGAAGATTTTTATTATTAGAAATGTTATGACTACCATAAAAAATCCATAAATATTCTGGTCCATTAAGTCATTTTGCTGATTGAATCATGCAGTTGTGTGTGTGAACATGAGAGTGTGTGTGGGGAGGAGGAGGAGACGGTTGCCATGGCAAACTAAAATCCCTGAAGTGATTCTAACTGTTAGTTATGCAACCAAACCTGCAGCTTTTCTAGCAGCAGACAGATTTACTGCTCAACCAGACTGGAGTCAGACGACGGCACCGTCACCGCACAGTTTGGTGCTGCCAGAGTTTGGTGCTTCCAGAGTTAGGTGCTGCCAGAGTTTGGTGCTTCCAGAGTTTGGTGCTGCCAGAGTTTGGTGCTGCCAGAGTTTGGTGCTTCCAGAGTTTGGTGCTTCCAGAGTTTGGTGCTTCCAGAGTTTGGGGCTTCCACATGTTAAAAGTCTCTAAAAACAGAAAAAAGTCCCCTGATTTTCTTTTAGTTGCTTTCCTGAAAGGAAATTGCTGAGAGAAATCTGAAACATCTGAATCTAAATTAGCAACATGTGCTCTGGCTCATGTCACTGAGAATCCTTCCACCCATGAAAGTAGTCCTCTGTCTTTTACAACAGGTATCTTTTTAAACATATCTAAAAGTTTCTTTTAAGTGTAAGTCTCGGTTCCGGTCCATTTTGCCCGGAGCAGCAGAGCTGCAGCTGTTGGCGCCTCCAGCTGTCTGTCGGTGTGACCCATTAGAGCCTCTAACTGTTGGAAAACACCAAGCGATGAATCTGTTATTCCCTGCAGATTTAATCTCATCAGCCCGATGCCACTTCGGACCCGCCAGCGTCTTTCTGCACCAGTAATGTCCCAGTTTAATCAGGTTGTGTGTTCTGGGTAGAACAGCTCCACCCTTAAGCCTCCAGCTCAAACTCTGATCTGAACATTTCATCTACCTCAGATAAACAGCAGAACTAACAATTATCCAACCAAATGTAATAAAAACATTCAACTTATAAATCAGCTGTATTTTAAAACCATGGAGAGTATAAATAACTAAAGGTTTTAAGATTAATGAGCAACAAGCATTAATGGTGTTGGTGACTGGATGGTATTTTGTTATAACAGTAATACTTTCTGCAGTCTTGGCTGATGTGACGCAGCGACACCAGGAAGATAATCTTCACTGCTTGGTGATGTGATTAGAGAGCAGCGGCTGCAGAGTGGAAACCTGCAGCTCGGCCAGCGCAGCTGATTGTTTTATCTGCCATTGTCTTCCTCACCGGTGCTGCAGGGCGTCTCCATGGAGATAAACAGTCCAATCAGACTGCAGGAAGAACTTCCCGGTAATGTAGCAAATTCAGTTTCCTCCTTTTCTTAGTCGACCTTTCCTCCGTTTCCTAAAAGAAACAAATGGAAACGTCTCATTTGATCAAAGTCTTCACTCTGATATAAACAGTTCCATTAATGTAAATATAATATATGATTATTTGACAAAGAATAATTAAAAACAGGAATTAGCTGCTGAACCAGAGGCTGACATTAGAAACACACAACCTGTTATTGTTTAGTGTGACTGATTATTACTGTGAGCCAATAATGAATGTCATCACATTTAGAACCAAACCAGATGTAACAACAAAAACAAACTGAAAGTCATTTTACTAATCCTAACTGATTTCAGGTCAGGCAGTGAACAAAAAGGTCATATATGTTTTTTTTATACAATGATTGCATATAATAAAACCACAATAAACACATAATAAAGCCGTGATAAACAACATTATGAGTGTGAAAGTTGTGACATTTTGTCTGTTGAAACTGTTCCTGGGTGTTAAACTCTCAGGCTGAAAAGCCATAAACCTGACCACAACCACAGGCGTGTCGCTGCTGCTCTCTGTTCAGAACCGACTCGGTTCTGAACAACATGAGCGTCTGGACCAGGAGCCCGCTGCTGTCTGGAAACATTCTGCTCATTTCCTGTCTCCTCCTGCCTGTCTGCAGGGTTGTTGATGTGCGGCGTGTCGGCCATTAGCGCCGCCCGCCTGCTGAACGCCAGGCTGCCTCCAGACAACAGGACAAACTCCAGTTATTGTTTTAACAGCTGCTTCTGACAGCGCAGCCTCTGCATGGAGAAGAAGTGAACATTTACAGAGATGTGGCTTTAAATGCAGGGAGGACCTCTGGTGGTCAGTGTGAGTCACCCAATCAATCATCAACACATGAAAGATTTTTAACCTTCATATTTAAACCCTGAGCCGTGTTGTCTTCATTCTTCTTTTGAATAGTCCAGGAAAGTCTGACGTCTGAGGAGGAAAAAGACAAATGGACGTGTTTGCGTCAACAGTTGAAGCTAAAAGTTTGCATTTCTGGCTCAGAGTGTTTATAGTAGAAAAGTGTGGGGGAGTTCGATGATTTGGAAGGAATTTTCTGTCCTCAAGCCTCTTACAGGCTTTCTGTGGTTATGACTCAAACTCTGCCTTCATAAATTAAATATAATTGAGCAGAAAAAAAAGATTAAAAGTTGAAGGAAAAAATATCTGAAGTACAGCAGTTTCTGAAGCACAACTTGTGGAATGACCTTTGACCTCTAGTGAGGTGAAGGAAACTTAGAGCCTGCAGTTTGTTTGTCGTTCAGCAGCTCAAAGCATCTGGACTCAGTTAGAGGAGAAAACATTTTGGTTGTTGTGGTAAAAAGTTTGAACACTCAGCCTGAAGAAACTTGTAATTCCTGTTCTTAGGTACTTAGAAAAACATTACGCAACATTCAAATATAAATATAAACATAATGTGAAGCATAACATTTTTATAAAGACACATTTGGATGAAACTAAAGGAAATATAAATGATAAAGCAGAGTAGCATCAAGATGCAGAGCTCAGGACTCGTTTCCTCCTTTCAGAAGATCCTGATGTAACCCCAGACTGAGCCGTCTGTCACTCAAGGTTAAGTTCAACTTTATTTATAAATCCCATTAAAAACAGCTGCTGTACCCAAGTACTGATCATGAAAATAGAAATATTAAGAATAAACAGGGTAGAAAAATAAAACAAAAATATTAAAAGATTAAGAAAAGACAGGAAACATGAAAAGTTCAACTGAATCAGCAGGAAACGTTTTATCGTCTGGATCAGTTCCAGCTGCTCTGACCGCTTCAGGAGTTTCCTTTCTGATCTGAATGAGGTGATTAGATGATTCAGCAGCTCTGGACGCCGTGCAGTAAAGAGGCGTTCTGCAGAAGACATGCAACACGCAGGGCCGGGCTGGAGGAACAATTATTTATATTCACATGAACATAAGACGAGCTGCTGTAAATAAAACAGACCTGTGGGTCCCTCTACTGGCCAAAGCTCATAACGCACCCTGCAAACACAAAATAAAAATATTCAGGAAATGTCTGAAAAGTTAGTTTAAAAAAGACAAAGTTAGTGAAAATAAATTGGTTTCCATTGATTCCATATTAGGCCAAAACAGATCTTAAATGGTTTTGTGAAACCAGATATTTTATTTTTAACCAGCTTGTTTCTGTTTATTCAAACGTCTTCTCCGTCATAAACTATAAATAACCTTGGAAACATGGAGTGTTTATGACTGAGCAGAAAACAACTTCAATCTGTCCGAGTCTCTCTGTCATCCTGTCATTTTCTCTCCATCTGTTCGGTCCTGTCTCTCCCTCCTTCAGTCCCCGGAGTCTCTCTCTCTCTCTCTCTCTCTCTCTCTCTCTCTCTCTCTATCTCTCTCTCTCTTTCTCTTGTTTTTTGGCCAGCAGCTGAGACCTGACTGATGCTGCTGCCAATCAGACAACGGGAGCAAAACATTTCAGTCTCCATGGCAACAGCCCGCTGATTCCCAGCCGTTACTGAGCAGGAGCGACGCAGTCGAGTAAAACCCGCCACAGTGAGAATCGGTGTTTTGTGTTAGTCAAACTCGGTGGTTCTGCTGAGTTTTGTTGTAATAACCAAAGACATCATAACTAACAGGTGGCGGTGAGTCGTTGTTTGCTCTCTGACTCCCCCTGCTGTTGTAAACAGGAACATCATTGAGCTAAAAATAAACCTCCATCTGATCCAGCAGCCAGTAAAATGTTTATCTGCCAAAGTCAGAAGTAATCAGACCAGTGGATTTATTATTAATATGTTATCCATATGGTTAATATTATATGACCTGAATGAAAGAGGCTGTTCACGGATTTATTATCTGTGAGGAGAAAAACTATTAAGACACAGATAATGTGATGATGTTTATCGTTTCTGTCTCACATATTTTTTCACTGCATTAAGATGAAAAACAACATATAAAATAAACACATATCTAAAATTAAATGAGAATAAATCTATTTGTTTTGAACTGAGTCCATATCAAACCTCCTCCCATACATGTGCATCAATTTTCCTCCAGAATGAGGAAAATGTCATTTTCAACCGTTTTTGCCATTTCATAACATGTTTCTATTATTTTAATTCCTGCTTTTATTTTATTTCCCTTTGTGATCAATTAAGTATTTTTTTTATTTAACCACAAAAATGCTAAATAATTTTTAAAAAAAATCTCTCGTTTGCTCAGTGGTGAGCAAACTTTATAAAAGGTTCTGACTTTAAATCACTAACGGCCTGCACCCACTGGACATTTAGCTAATGCACTAAATTCAACATTCACTGCAAGTAAAATATGTATTATGTTTTATAAAAAGTAAATTACCTTAAACAGGCACAAATTTATCATTAAACATTTAGCAGGAGCTTCAGGACGGCAGCCTGGGATTTTGTTGCTGTTTAAAGAAATCTCTGTTCTTCAGGTTGGACTTTAATGTTTGGATGATCCAGCTGATGTTTCTTTGAGCAGCTGAGAGTTAATGATGAAACCAGCAGACCCACCCAGCATCTATTTAAGCTGCTTTAAAAGCTTCATGTCTCTTTCTGCTTCAGCTCCATGAGACCAAGACGAATGTAAAACTCATCTAGATGCTTCAGGTCCTCATCTTTAGTTCCCTTTGGTGGCGTATCAAGGCTCAGCTGATACATGGCTTCCCTTATCTGTGAAGTCAGGCTGTGAAATTTTTGGTTTCTGTGTTTTTGCAGGAGAGAAATTCGGTGTTTCCCCTCAACGACACTCCTAAGTGAAAGGAGCAGCGGCCGTCCCTCTAAATGCAGAGATGCCATTGTGTAGAGAGAGTAATGAAGCGTAGTGAGAGGCAGCGGTGGCAGCAGCAGCAGGGGGCGGTGGAGCCCCCGAGACGGCATTAATGCTCTCTGTTCCCTGTCACACTCTGGATTCACCGACCAGACGAGGCGTCAGGAGGAAACCTCAGCAAGACAGAGACCCTGTTTCCTCTATGAAATGTTAATAACAGATTTAATCCTGTCTGACCCTCTGTGAAGGCTGGATCTCACTAGTAAAATGTGATTCTTGTATTTATGTAGACGATTAAATAAGATCACAACCTTCATGAACATTAGCTTAATGGACAAAAATCAAAAACTAGTTTGAGGAAAACAAAAAACCCACAGGAGAGACGGAAAAGTTTCAAAGATGAGCGCTGGAAAAAACCCTCTTACAGGCTGTTGTCACCATGGCAGCAGCCCGCTGAGATCTTCCCTTCATTTCTGGCTTCAGCATCACGAGGTGAGAACAGCGGCTGGTTGGCTGCTGAACGTCTGCAGTGGCTTCTGCTGGTGGCAGCTGCCAGGCAGGCTGCTCATCGTGGAGCCGGGACCAGACCTCCATCCTTCTGATGCAGCTTTCCCTGGACGTCACCGGCTCCAGGGCAGCTGGTTAAAACAACCATAAACCTGCAGGTCACCGGCTCCAGGGCAGCTGGTTAAAACAACCATAAACCTGCAGGTCACCGGCTCCAGGTGGGAACGGATGTAGGAGAGGTTGGAAAAGTTTAGTCATTTTACAATCAGAAAACAAAAAGTGGTGTCTCATTTTTATCCCCTTTATTTTTAGCCCTAAATAAACTGAATATTAATGAACAAACAGAAATGTGTGCAGATTACAGATGTCCACCCAACGGACAGATCAAAACAGGAACCAAAGGAGCAGTGAGGAAGAGGAGGGTGAGGAAGCACAGCGAGGAACAAACGGAGCTTCAGCCTCAGATCCAACAAACAGCCAACAGTGGAGAGACTACCAGCCAGTTTTCAGCTGGAATCAGCACCAAGTGGTGAAACTGAAAAATCATATATTTATCCAGTCAGTGAAGGCAACACAGGATATTTTAGAATCAATCAAGTCAAAGAAAGTATTTAAATTGTAAAACATGTCCATGGCTGAGAGAGAGCAGATAACAGGAAGGCTAAACAAACAACAAGGTATTTTACTCACATCAAGACCGCTGCGCTAACCATGCTAATGGCTAAACTGCTTAATGATTTTGTCTGTTTGAAAATATTACTAGCAACAGCGACTGCTCTATAATGTGATTAATTTAAACAGTTAGTGACAAACTGGAAGGCTAGAAAATCAAAGTTTTTTCAAAAGAAAATTGTCTCCAAACGTCTGATTGTTGGTTATCAGTAAGAAAAAGATTGCTTCAGCTACTTCTGCATCCTGAATTCATCAGACTAATATCAATTTACACACAAAGATTCCTTAGCGCTCCAACTTCAGGCCTTCAGACATTCATCCAGAGTGTTGCATAATATCATTTGTTCTCTAGTTTTGCTGTAAACTGCAGCTGCCTTCTCGTTTGTTCCACAACAGCCAACAGAACCGGAGCATAAAAGAGGAGAAGCGTCTCTTTCCCCAGCAGGATGGGTTCATCTCTCAGGATGAACCGTTTGACCTTCAGGTCAAGGTCGTCTGAGCAGCACCGGGTCAAACCTGCCAGAGATTCTGACTCTGTTCATCTGCTGACCAACGATAAAACCTTAATTTAATCAACAAGGAAATCCTGTTTACATTAATACAGAAACTTTATTAGTAGCTTTACGTCTTTACAAAAAGAGCTTCATGTTTGTGGTTTACAGTCTAAATATTCCTACCACAACTATTTAATAAAAATAACCAGATTTAAAAGTCCTTCTTTAAACATTTAAAAGTACTCACATATTTAACACATTATTATAGACACATTTATATAAACTGTCTTTACATGAGATAACAGAGTAATCAATGACGTTTCCTGTAAATGAATATTTGAACATGTACAGTGTTTCTACGATGAGTTTATATCTCTATATGATGGAGATGTTAGTCAAACAGCTTTTTCCAGATGATGTGAGACGATAAGCAGAAAACTTCTCCTGCCTTCCGACCCGGCAGCTTCTGCTTTAAGCTATGTACAGATTTCAGGAAACAGATTCAAACCTCACAGCTCTGATGTTCACCAAATGATTACATTTCCTCTGGGAGAAGCAGAAATTGTCTCTGCCTGCAGATTAATGCTGGAGTTTCTGGTTGACGCGTTTGAGTTGGACAAAGAGACGTTGGGACTCACTGCTGCTTCATATGACGGGTCAGAGATGTTTCTGATTATTGCATTTCTGGACCACATGTGGTGCTCTTCACTTTCTGAATCTTTTTCTTCTAAATAATAATAATTGTTTCAACAGAAGCTTCATGCTTGGCCTCCTGCAGCTGCAGCAGTAGAGCCGGAAACCTGAAGGAGCTGCAGAGTTTTACTGCGTTTCTCTGCTGAATAAAACGTTTTGTGTTCCAAATATAAGTTTTGTGATGAATGGGGTTTGACATTGGTATGGATGATCCTCCACACATTTTGCTGACCGGTGTGTCTGAACAGACTTTGCTGCTCAGACCCAGTTTTGCTCCGTCAGGCTCCAGTGAAGTCAGAGCTGAATCTCAAAAACACATTTAATCAGAACCGAATCCTGACATGGAGAAAGGTTTTCCTTAAACATCTGGTTTTACGTCACTTTTACATCAGATTCGCTCTAATTCATTTCCCTTGTTACTTCTGGAAGTCTCTTCAGGTCAACACATTACTAACATCATTTAGTAAAAACTAGTTTCAAAGATTTTAGTTTTATTTGTGCTTCTAATTATTTATCGCCTGAAACTGCAAATCTTAACTAAACCTAACTAAAACATAGTTAAATATTCTGTAGGTGTTTATTTATGAATGGTGATGATTGTAAAGTGACCGATGCTTCAGTAACTCAGCTGGCAGTGGAGAAACATTTTGGATTTTAGGTTGTTATTTTTCTCTCCTCTCGGTCAGATGTGTCAGAAGTCATCTGGCTGCCTTCGTGCTGCTCCAGTCCTGCTAACATCCAGTGGATCCAGTTCCTGCTAACATCCAGTGGATCCAGTTCCTGCTAACATCCAGTGGATCCAGTCCTGCTAACATCCAGTGGATCCAGTTCCTGCTAACATCCAGTGGATCCAGTTCCTGCTAACATCCTGCTAACATCCAGCTGATCCAGAACCTTCTGGATCAGCTGGAGTTCTCCACCTCTAAGCCCGGATTCCTTCCAGCCCTGTTCCGTCCGCTTTAGCCTGACTCCAGTCCGTTCATGTAGAAAGTCTGGTCCGGTTGGAGAGGTATGAACACTATTCGACCTCTGACCTCTGGTCCTCCAAACCTCGCTCTGGGTTGATTGAAGTGAACTCTGGTTCAGTTCAAATTCATATATGAACACCAAACAGAACCACAGCAGCTGGAGCAGATGCTGGAGTTTTGGTTCCTGTAGAACCGGGTCGACCGGACCGTCAGGAGGAGAACAGCTTTACGTTGTGAAATGTGGAGCAGCAGCTCAGCGCCGGGCTTCACCCCGACAGAGGAAGCTCATTCAGTGTCCATGTCAGAAACACCTGGATGACTCCAGACCCGTTCTGGTTGTTTCATGGATGCTTAAGATTTAACCAGAATTTGGACCCAATTTAATCTTTTTCCAGTAACTAGAAAGCTGCTGTTCAGGGAAAAACACACAAAAAGACATTTAAGTAAAACAAATTGCAGAACAAAGAAACATAAAGTTAATAACCATCTTATATAAACATAAACATCTTCAGTTAAAGAGACGCATTGAGAAAACCAGCCTTCCTGTTCAACGAAGTCAACACATCACTGTCACGGATCAGACCTTTGATCTAAACAGATAACAGAACCAGGTGAGAATCAGAGGAAGGTCAGTTCAGACATGGGGGATGTTGGTTCTGCCGAGCCTCGGTTCTGTTTCCACACATAAACCATCTGGATGTCTATCAGAAGGTGCAGGCGTAGACCACGCCCACCACCACTATGTTCCCTATAGTCGCAATGATGGCGATCCACAGCCAGATGGCGTCGCTGGACATGGACTGCTGCTCGTCTGGCTGGCCGTGCACCGAGGCGGCCGAGGCCGCCGCGTTGACACTGGCTGAAGAGTTGAAGAGCGAATGCTCGCCGCTGTAGTCGTCATTGGGTGAGGAGTCCATGAAGGCCCCAGTCATGACTGGGATCTGGAACCACAGAAAGATTCAAATCGGTTAGATTTTAGGCAAAAAGAAACAGCAGAACCAATAAAATATATCAAATAAGTTTGATTTTTCCACATGGCTTTTATTGAAGATGATCTTTTAGCATTGCCATGAAATGGACACTCAGTTTCCCGCCTTAGCAGAAAATTGGCACAGATAGTTTGTGTGATACTGATAGTTCATTCTGAACCCAAAATGAAAACCACAGAAGGTTAAGCAGACTTTTATCAGGAAGTAACAGGAAGTAGCTGTTTACTCAGCAGAGATGGATTACTGGGGATTGTTTCACCTGCAGGACAGACAGAAACCAGGAGTGTGAAGCTTTGGAGAGCAGGAACACCTCCAGCCAGGTCAGCCTGTTTGGTCTGACCATCACTGTGTTTATGGCTCTTAGATCAGCAAACATCCAGATCTGATAGACAATCTGCCACTGAGTGCAGGGATGCAGGAGGAGGAACCAACCAGCAGCTGCCAACCGGATGACGTTTGTCTCCAGCTGCGCTCACTTAACGCTTCTAGCATTAATAATAAGTTAGAGGTTTACCAAACCTTTTCTTTGGTAGAACATCTCTCTGTGTTTTACGTGACCAAACTGTGTCATGTCTCTTCTAAATAACCGTTTTCACTGTGGAATGGCCTGATTTCTCCAGCCATGGACGGTCGCTCACACTTTAATTAATCAAAATGCTGTTTGTGATGCGAGCGCCGGAGTGTGAAAGGAAAACAGAAAATGATTTCAGCCAAGCAGGATGTAAAACTTCTGATGAAGAAAGAAATGAAAAATGTTTCCTCTGAGATTTTCACTCAGAAGCAGCAGAGCAGAACCAGGTTCTGATGTTCATTACTTAAACTTTGAGCTCCTCCTGGAGATTTCTTCCTATCTCGTCTTTAGCAGTCTGAATTATTTTCTCATTTATGTGTCACTATAAACAGACGTCTATCATGCAGCCAGCAGGAAAAGCTCAACAGCTTCTTGTTTTTATTTATCCAGGTAAAGAAACGACAGAGGGATAAATCATATTTCCTGTTGCGTCAGAAGGCAACAGATCAGAGATGATTTATGGAAAACTGAGCCAAACCGGCTGAAACCAGACATCCAGGTGAGATGAAGAAAACACGTTTTAAAAAACAAGTTTTCATCTTTCTGTGTCGTTCAGGTTTACCTTTTAATGATTTAATTTATCACCCAAAAAGCTGCTTTATATTGTTTAGAAAAATAATCTATATGTTTAATTTATCCCAGAAAAACAGATATTGGTGAGTAAAAATATAATTTAATCTTTAACATAATCCTGAACTATTTCAATTTGCTGTAAAAGTTTATAAAATTAACCTTTTATTTTTAGGTGTTTTAATTAAAGCTGATGAAACCAGAAAAGTTTGGATTTTAAGAAAGTTTTATTATTACAAAATATTCAGATGTTATGTTACAGACAAAGAGAAACCAGCAGAGACACGGACTGATAAACCAAGCTGGCTGTTCGCTGAGTGCTGGGTTCCACTGATGGAAAGTTGAGTGGAAGGAAAACATGTGGTTTTCCTTAAGGAAAAGAGGTTGATGCAGCCAAAGTTAGAAATAATAATATGTATTTTGTCATTTAAAATGATGATGCATGTGAGTTTTATTCAGTGAAATGATTGATAGGAACAATCTGAGGTTTGGTGCCACTGAGCGGAGCCGGCCCACTCATCCTAACCAATCCTAAAACCGCTCAGAGGGATTCTGACACACAGGAAGAGCTTCTGACTCGCTGGTTCCACCGCCGACGTGCTGCTCTCACTGTGGCGCCTTCTGGTGGCGAATAGAGACATGACACACACCGGGATCGCCTGCTGCTCTCATGAGCCTTATGGAGGCAGACAGGCAAGAAGCTCCGCTCCTCACTGAGGCTCTGGAAGTGCTGATTAGTTCACCATGTCACAGCATTTCTGCTTCTGACACACACAGACACGCAACGTTCAAGGTCAGCAGGGATCAGCAGCACAAAGATGTGAAACTGAAATACAGCAACGAAATCAAAACGTTTCTGAGACGCTCAAGATGTTAATCTTCTTCAATCAAGACATCAATGTAAAAATCAATCAGTGGGTTCAGAACTCACTCATTTAAACTTCACAGCCTTCAGGCTCTCAGGCTGCAGCTGATCTTCAAACTGCTTCATTCACTGCAGCATGAATCAATCTGCCTGATGGACGGAGCCCATCTGATGGTTATATTTCAATCTGCTCAGAGACGATGAGCAGAGCGGTAACAACCAGCCTCTCCTTGGGGTCATGATTGCCTCCTACCCCGTCAGACAGCTGACGCTTTCAGCCGTGTCTCCATTCTTCATATTTATGTTTAATTTATTAGTAACTGGTTGTCCACAGAGTGAGCCGTCTGCAGAGGAAGTGCTCTGAATAAAACGGAGATGAGAACAAACCAAAAACCTAAATAAATATTTGATTGTTCAGCTTTGATATTTCTGGAGACCAGACTGTGTGAAAATGAATTTACTGGAGAACATTTAGAGGAAATCCTGGTGGGAAACGTTTCCTGTATGCAGATGTTGCCGAGGCAACAAGTGGAAGAAAAGGAAAGACAGCCTGCTGCGTTCTGCACTAGATGCAGAGGATCCAAAACCTAAACTCAGTACGAATAGAAAACACTTCAGCATATTTTTACCCAAGTTAAAGTAAAAATACTCCTAAAAGTCATTAAAAACATAAAATTAAATGCATCCAGCTCTGATCAGATGTAGATAATATTTATGCAGTTTTAATTGGATTAAATGTTTTTATGACATGAGGCAAACAGAAAATGCGGATGTCTCAGCGCTCCAGTGGTTCTGTTGGGTTCTTTGACCCTACAGTGAAGCAGTGGAGGGTGATTAGCTTTAGCGGCGCTAGCTGTTAGCAGTGTGCTCTCTGCTGATTGGCTGACGCAGTAATGTGGCCACAGAGAGCAGAACCCTGCGTAGCTTCACTCTGAACACGTCCGGCTCCGGATGACGACGGTAATGAGATTTAGCTCCTCAGCTTCACTTTTCTCTCCAGCAGAGCAGCTGGATGTTTACAACAGATTCCCAAATGTCTGCCTGAACGTCAGCAAAGTTTTCTGTTGTGATGCAGAAGTTCATGTTCCAAACCATAAAGCTTCATCTACTGGCTTCAGCCGACAGGATGTGACGTCACAAACCAGCAATGCAGAAAAACAAAATCTAAACCATTAAAGCAGAGATAATGAGGAAACGCTGCAGAAACAACAGAGCTGGCCTTTCGGTGAGCAGATGTTGAAGGCTGAACTCCTCGTGTCGTAAATCTTTTCTCTCAGTCGTTCTCCATCTCTGAGGTGTTGAAGCTTCTGGTTACCAGGCAGATTTACGGCTCTGCTGCCATTGATTTTCCTCCAGTCTCAGCGGCCAGCAGCATTTTTAAATAAATCTTATAACTCAATAGTACAGGAGTAGCCTGAGTGATTTTCTCCTGACGCCTCCATCAATCTGTCAGAGCAACAGAAGTTTGGTGTGACGGAGAAAAACTTATTATACTTCTCTAATAACACGAATGAGCAATAACTCCGGTTCATGTTTCTCTCTGGACTGAACCTGGACCTGAAATTACTTCCTGTCTCATTATTGTGACTCATGGTCAGAGCGGAGAGGAGGACGATGGGAAGGTGGTCTTAAAAAATGCAGAATGTCATCTTAACATGTGGAGGTTGATCATTTGGCTAAAAATATATTCTATTGTTTCAATTAATCATGGAGAATATTAAAGTTTGATTTCTGATTCAGAAAGCTACTAAACCGTTCACACACACACACACACACACACACACACACACACACACACACACACACACACACACACACCCCACTCCTTGTTCCGGTCTCCGTCCAGAGACCAGATGATGGACCGCTCTGCGGGCTCCATGTTCGGGTCGAAGCGTGGCGGCTTCATTCAGCCTGGTGGTTCTGCCGGTCCATGTTTGTTTCATCCTCCTGGTCCGGTTTGTGATTCTCTTTGTTCAACCTTGAGCTAATCCAGCAGGCTGCTCACTCCTTCCCTCTGTCCCACACTCGGGTGAGGATTTGGATTATGCAGCAAAGCTGACCTGAATTTCTGCTTCTAAGAATGATCATAAAAATTTTAAGAGTTTGTTCCAAAAATTTAACATGAAAAGCAGCAGAACAGCTTGAAAGCAGAACCAGCAGAACCAGCAGCCGAGCCTCGATGCTGCTCTGGTTCTCCAGGCAGTGTTCAGCTTAAAGGTTTTACTTTACGTTCAGTTTAACTCCAGTAAACTGATGCGTTCAGCATCGGTTCCTGACCTGGAGCTCAGGCTCGGTTTGGTTCCAAAACTGAGTTTGATTTTCATTCATCTGCTTCTCTTCTCTTAATATCATGTCCCATTAATTACTGCCTTCCTCAGCATCAGGTTTCCTCCTGTGGTTATATTAATATTTACATTCCTAATTATAATTTTCAACCACCACAGCAACTTGCAAAGTCAGTCATTGCATATTTACACAACATGAACTCATGACTGCCTGCAAAAGGCCTCCATAAGGATTTTATCTAATGAGCACAAACTTCAATCTGGGAAAATATCAGTGAAACCTTTTCCTGTCTTTTTTATCAAATGGACCAGAATCTGAAATACAATTCAACAAAATGTATTTTATTTACAAAAGTCACATTTTTCTGATTAATCAGATGCATGGAAAGAGGAAAATAATAAAACAAATTTTGATCTTTATGATTGCACTACAGTAAAAAGTAATGTTTGTTATTGGGGGTTTTTTTGTTACCAAATAGTTGAGATATCTTTGAATGTTTGTTTTATTATTATTATTTTTTAGTTTTCTTACAATAGAAAACCCTAAACAGGGTCAGCAGCAAATAAATCTGATATTTATACAATATTTACTCCTCGCATTAAGAAGAGCTGCATTTCTGATTCATTAATTAGGTCCAGTATAGATATTAACACAGAAACAGCCATCAAAGATTCCTGCATTTATTCATGACATGTTGATAATGAACCTCATTGATTTTCTCATCATATTGATTCATGCCCTGCCTCCTAAACGCTTCCCTGTGGAATGAAGGAGAAACTGTAGCAGCTGTAATTGAAAAGCCCCAGGATTAGTGTAAGCAAATGAAAGTGAGACGCGCCTGCAGGACTCCTCTCATTTACCAGGGGAGATAATTAATCAGGAGAGCTCCGGTGGCAGCCAGCAGCCGTTGGACAGAAAAACGACGAGATCAGGGGAAACAGAAACTGAGGGGATGAACATGGATTCAATTTATACCTGACAGGAAGCTGCTGTGAGACAAAGCCTGCATACGGTGGATGGAAATACGGGTCTGTGGAAAAGTATTTTTTTGTCCTTATTTGAACCACTTTTTCTCACCAGTTCTCCATAAAAAACCAGGAGCAGAAGCATAAAACCTGAAACTTTCCAACCACAGGTTGTGATCTATCAACAACAAACTTGTTGGGAGAACGAGGAGGAGAAACAGGAAACTGGCAGATCAGGAACTGAAGACAAACTGCAACATAATTCCTCTCACACTTTTAATTTCCCTCCATAATCAAACTTCAATCAGAGATCGACTTTATCATAATCATCCAAACAGCCGAGTTATTTATGCTTCTGCTGCTGAGCCAAAGCTTTAATAAGGACACTCCATATTAAAAAATGTAACTTAATATTTTAAAGTTTTCTCTGGATGGTCACCATGGTGACGTGTAACAGATTAACACAAAACGTGACCAGGTGTGAGGCAGCTAAACTGATTCATATAAACATCTAAATGCTGCAGTGAAACTCTTTTGCATTTCGCTGCAGAATGTTAAATCTTCCAGCAAACTTACAAACTCTGTCTGAAGATTTTGCAAATATTAGAATCAGGAAGGAAGTTCAAACTTTTTCGGGCCTGATCTGATGCCCTCCTCCTCTGTGACCTGCTGCTCCTCCAGAGTTGGCTGGACTCTGATTATTTAGACGTTTTTTTAAGTCAAAATGTGGCGCTGGAGGCTCAACTACATTTCAGATGGATGTTTGGAGTTTCACTGTGAAAAAACATGCAAAGGTTCAGGAGGTGTGGACGCTCTGAAAGCCATCCAGAACTTCTTAACCGACTCCAGCTGGTCAGCAGCTGTGAGGATGAGTCAGTGGGCCGGCCGCTCCAGGGCTCCCCGTAAAGCTGCGCTGCAGGTCGGGCTCAGGCTGTGCGTGTTTCAATGCAGGACGAGGCGGGTCGGGTCGCTGTCATGAGTTTGTCACACATGTGTCATGTTGGCCCAGTTAGATCTCAGATCTCAGGAAGCGTCCAGTGGCTCCAGCAGCCCGTCCCTCTGGATGGACGCTGACATCACTGTGTGTTAGCGTTAGCCACCGTTTGGACCAACAGCCGCTTATAGAAAATGTGACAAAATGCAAAAACAGCCAATCTGTGCACAGATTATTCAGAAGGAAAACACGAGGCTCATGTTTATTACCCCAGCCTTCTGTCCATCAGTCTGTGTTATGAATAAATGGATGGGTAGCCTGTCAGGCTCGGAGATGGATGCTTATTACAGCAAGCAGTTTTTATTCCAGAAGCTTTTTCTGCTCCAGCCAAACAGAACTCAAATCTAATGAAGAGAAATTGTCTCAAAATTAGAATGGAGTATGAATATGTTTGCATTACCTGGCTGGTTAAACAGATTCCAGCAACAAATGCTGCAGGGGTTACGCAATGTTTACAACAGGGCCCTGAAATATGCAGCCAGCATCATAACATCATGTTTGATAACACATAATCCCACCACAGGGTCTGTCTGCAACGACAGAAACAATCAGACAATTAAAAAGGTTTTAAAATCTTCTATAGAGAAGCTTTACTCAGGGAGGCTCAGAGCAACATCAGCGGTTCGACCTGTAATAACGTCTGCAAGCTGGAGTCTGAAATCCAACTTATGAACTGATTCACAGCTCCGAGTGCCGTCGTAAAAAATTAAAGACGTAGAAAAAGGAAATCAAAGCTGCAGTACTCCTCTTCCACTCATGCATAACAGCAGCATGCCCAATGATTTCCATACGTAATGTAACTGACTCAACAGTAAGTGCCTGATTCATCAGATGGGCATTAAAGCTGCATGCGCCTGAAATGAGAGGAACATTCTGATTTGTCTTGAGTTCAATATAAAAAGCTGCAGCCTGTTGGAAAAATAACAGCTTCTATAAATCTGATGGTGGGAAGAAGCAGAAATACAGAAAGAGGAGAGAGCGGCCCTGAAGAGTGGGGGGTCTGCTGCTCCTGCGTTTCTCTCAGTGACAGCTGGGATCAGTCCAGCAGGAAGATCTAATATTTCAAAGCTTTTTCAGGTGAATGTGGCAGAAATTTACTGTGAGACTGTAATACAGCAAAATGTCACAAAATCAGCTGTTACTATAGTGATGGATGAGACAGACTGCTTCATGATGTCGTGCAAAAATAGGAATAGTTTTAAGGTTTCACAAAATCTTAAAAGTGTGGCATGCATTTGTGTTGACCTCGCTTTACCCTGATACCCCTGAATAAAATCCTGTGTAATTTAATCTGAGCAGAAATGCAGTAGCTCAGTTGTTCTGTAAAAACCTCACAGGTTCATTAGAGAGTTTTCCT